GGGCGCCTCTGCGGCTCCCCGGCCCCGCGGCGCCTCGCGCGGCGCTACCGGCCCTGCTCCTCCCCGCCTGCTCCTCGGGGGACCCTGCTCGTCCTCGGGGCGCAGCAGGCTGCGCAGGGGCGCGCCTAGAGCTTTAAAGCAGGTTTGGTGCCCAGGCAGCGGGGTAAATCCCAAATTCCTGGCGGGGGACGTGCCAGGCGAGCCGCAGAGCCTGCCCTGCTGCACAGGGGCTGCGGCGCCGGGCTCCGTCCGGGCCGCCGCGGTGCCCTGGCTGCTGGCGCTGCGCTCACACGAGCTCCCAGAGACGCGTTTTGCCACCTGGACAGATTCGGAGAGGCCGTTGCTGTGTGACACGCTCTGCTGGCTGAGCCAGAAAGGCGGCATTTCCACCGTCCGGGGGAATGTTCTAGAAAAAACAAGTACCAAAAAACAAACCGTGGGAGGGGGCTGGCCTCAGAGGACGTGTCCTTTAGCGCTTACCTGCCTCCTAGTTTCCAATATCCTTCACCACAAACGCTCTCTAACATCCACTTTTATGAACAAAGACAGTTCATCGAAAAGCACTTTCTAACAGCTATTAACATGCCTTTTTCCCTCTGAAGCTTCTAGTTTAACCCTGTCGTGCCCAGCTGTGCTCTGCCTTTGCTGTGCATCTGGCTCGTCCTGTTTCCAGCCTTTGCTCTCAAGCAGTTCTGGTCGCGTTGTCGGTGTCACTGACACAACCGCTGCCCCTTTCCGTTGCAGGTCCACGCTGAAGCGAGCAGGGCCGCCGCCGCTGCCTCCCAAGGTAGGTGCAGGGGTGTTCGCAGAGCTCAGGCTGCTGAGACCCCAGCACTGCTGCTGTCTCATGCCCTCAGGCTGCACCATCTGTTAAACCCCATTTGCCAGCAGCCTTTTATGCTGACTTGCGTCCCGTGCAGTCTCTTGGCCTCTGGGAGTTGGTGGCCTTTGTGCTGTGCTTGATGAAGTGACTTCCAGGTATTTTCCTTGGAAGCGCCTCGTGCTCAGCAGCGTCTCTGCTCCTGTGATGTTGCCTTCGGAGGAGGAAGGCCTCCTTGGTTATCGTGCTGTCAGATGCTTTTGTTCCAGTGCTGCTCACTTGCTTTATCCTTTATGTAGGAGCAGCCTGACTTTAATCAAAATCTGTCTCAAGTTTATGCCTCCAGATGCCAGTTCCAAGTTAATCTCCATCTCTTTTGTTTGCTGCAGCCAAGAATAAACAGTTACCCCGAGGAGAACCTGCCAGATGATGAGAAGTCTCAGACAATAAAGCATTTTCCTGACTCGCAAAGCAGAGCCCCGCCAGCCCATAGGAGACAGAGCATTCCTGTTTGCGGGCCTCAGCCCGATTCCTCCCCCATTGGTATGACCAGCAGCATCAGCAGCCCGGGATTGCTTACAGCTAGATACAGCGACTTGGGTAAATGCTTTACATTTCCAAAAGGAAATCAGTTTTGGAGCCCACTCTGCTTTCAGTAGGCAGTTAGTATAAGCTGCTCATAACGTGCAGCCTTCCTTTCCAGTGTGTGCTGGCTCCCGTCAGAGCCGTGGCCCACGGTGCAAACGGCTATGCCAGAACCGGGGTGCGCAGCCGGTCGCTGCCATCCCTGCCTTGCCTGCAGGAATAGTGCAGGAATAAGGAACGTGCAGGGAGGAGCATCACCGAGGGCCTTGCCACGGCTCTGTCCTCAGTCCTGTTTGGCCTCAGGACTATTGGAATAACGGGAAGCCTTAAATCACTGCGTAGCTTAAATGCAGAAGAGTGGCCAGCTGTGCTTTAAGTGGCTCAGCCCCTCGAGACGTGTGTATGGAAGTGGGAGCTCCCTGTTCCCTTACTAACACTATGGAGAAGAGAGAACAGGGTTATTTATTTTATTTTTATTCGTTTATTCAGCTTTGTCGGGGTGCTCAAAACTCTGTATGGGCTTTATTGCAGGGAACGGGGATGGCGTGCTGAAACTCATTGAAGAAAATGTGGAAGGGTCTGGACAAATCCCTCAGCTGCCACGTAAAAAGGAGAGACGAGACTTCCCCGTGAGTATGGTGGCTCGCGGTGCGGCCAGCGGCCCGACTGCCCCGCCGTGTTAGCTAACTAGTTGCAGTTCCTAAATACACACAAATGGAAGAGAAATGTACAGTTTCGTGTGGGCATCTGGGGGTATTTTATAAGCTTTCTCTCTTCCCACAGAAGCCGGCGATCAATGGTTTACCTCCAACACCGAAGGTGCTGGTAAGAGACCTCGTTGGCAGTGGGAATTGCTGGAAGCCTCCTCTCCTCCTCTCCTGTCGTCTCTCTAGTGACAGAGCTGGTCCCCATCAGCTGCCTGCTCGCCAGGGCAACTGCCTGCCTAGCACTGCTAGTCACTTGCCCTCCAGTTCCTTGTGTGCTGGATACAAAATACAAAATATCTATTCTTAAAAAACCTCCTTTCACCATTCAGTCTGGATGTGAAGAGATGGAGACTTGACAGCCTCTTTGGGCTGTGCTCTCCAATGGCACTCTCTGTCTTATAAAGAAAGTGCAGAAAGGCAGTAGCCAAGGGAGAAGGTTTTATTTTCTTGAATGTTTCTGCTTGTTTTGCCTTCATGTGCTGTTATATAAGCACTTAGTATTGTTGCTGTTCATGTCATTCTGCTCTGCCTTTGTGTTTCTTAATGTACATGAAGTCCATGTGAGAGATTAGAGTGGCTGCGCTGTAGCTTTTGGGGAGGATTCAAGTGCTTTGATGCAAAACATTGAGAGTTTCTCTGCCTGAAGAGAGCAGCAGTGGGATGGGGGTGCTAGCTGGCAAAGTGCCCGGAGATGAACACTTCCTCCTGCAAACTTGTTTCAGGATTCACTTTTGGTGTCTTTCAGATGGGAGCGTGTTTTTCCAAAGTCTTTGATGGTTGCCCTTTGAAGATTAATTGTGCGACATCATGGATACACCCGGATACTAAAGGTAAAGTTGTTTTTCATTTCTATTTTAAACCCGCCTGTTGCCAGAGTGTAATGAGCTTTTGAATTAAATGATTTCCTTAACTTTTCTAGACCAGTACATTATCTTTGGAACTGAAGAAGGTATCTATACATTGAATTTGAACGAGCTTCATGAAGCCACGATGGAACAGGTGACTACTGCTGTGTCGAAGAGGCAGAATAGAGTTGGGAATATGATGAAGCAAGAAAGTTTTGTATAAGGTTAGATGGGCGTGCTAAGCTTTGTGCCATAAGCTGAGTCGCATCAAAGTAAGCACTGAAAGTGCTAGATTTAATAATCTCCCTATTTATATGATTTTTTGATGCTGCTTATATGACATTGCATTCAAGGGAGTTCTGTAGTGAAACATCTCGGTGGATACAGCCTTAACCCACCCTTTTCCTGGGTCTGTTCTGTGGCCACTAGATGGCCCGAGTTCCACTCCGTTTAATTTAGCTGGCCAGGGTGATACTAACAAATGCGGATCTGCAGGCTGCCCCTTTCAAATGAGGGCTTGCAGGCTGCCCCGTAACCAGAATTGGTCTGGTTGCTGCTTTAGGGTCAGCAGTAGCTACCTGTTCTTGCAGAGGAAGGACTGGCGGATTCGGTAACGGGAATCTATGGGTGTATCCATAAGTTTCCAGGGCAGCTCAGGCCTCCAACAAGCATCAGATTCCAAGCAGACATGGCACAGTCAGAAACCAGAGGTGACAGGGAGGGCAGGTCTGTGACTAACAGCAGAAGAACGATGCTTTCACCTCGGGGCTGTCCTTCTCCAGGCTCTTCCAGGCCCTTGGTTGCCTCCTTTTTAAGGTTAGACGTGCCAGGGTTGGGCAAAGAGCAGTTCTTAGCATCCCACTGTGGCCCTGAATGCAGAATTGCTGCATTACACCCAGGATCACTGCCCAGGACAGCATCCTTGGCCGACGCCTTCACCACTGCTCCCCGCCGCTTTCCCCCGCTTTGTGTCTCTGCATTTATTTCTCTCCACCAAATGCCACTACTTGACTGTTTTTAAACTATTCCTCCAATTGGTCTGCTCCCATCCTCCAACGTGCTTGCAGTTTCTCCTGAGTTAATATCAACTGCCCAGTCCAGGACAGCATCCTTGGCCGGAGCCTTCACCGCTGCTCCCCGCCGCTTTCCCCTGCTCTGTGTCTCTACATTTATTTCTCACCACCAAATGCCACTACTTGACTGTTTTTAAACTATTCCTCCAATTGGTCTGCTCCCATCCTCCAACGTGCTTGCAGTTTCTCCTGAGTTAATATCATCTGCTGATTTCATACGTATACTTCTACTGCAGTTTTTTCAGTGAAAACATTGAATAGAACCTCAGAAAAAAAAAAGACTCTGTGTCTACAGGCTGTTCCTTGTCATCCTAAATGGCAAACTACTGACAGATACTCATTATTTATGTCCAAATAGTTCTCTGTTTTCTTTCTGTGATTTCATCTACCCCATGTTTTCTTATTTCACATATGGAAATGTCATGTGGGGCAAGATCTTACACACACGTGTGTCTCCCGTGCACCCGGCAGAGCTGTTCTCCTGTTGAGGAAGGCAGTTCAGGTCTTCACATAGTGCTCGTTCTGCACAGGTCCCCACCGCGCGCTCTTGGTCGTTATCCCTTGCTAATTAACACCCTTTGGCTTCTTCCTGGGCTCTCCGAGATGTGCAGAGTCACTCTGACAGACTTTCAGAGCTCCCCAAGCCCTTTTTGGTCAGGGCAGATCCTGTGTCTGCCTTTCTTGAGGTCTGTGTTTGTCCTCCATCAGTTCTTGGGGATAATCATTCCTGAGAGCCTGGTTTGAGGCAGTAGAATTAACTTTGTTGGCTGCTGCCATGAGTGCATCTAATGGGACCATTTAGCATATTCTTTATTGCTTCTCACACAAGTTCTTATCACAAGGCTGTTCACTGGGTTAATCCTGTAGCCAAGAGGAATCTCCTTTCCTGTCAAGCCTCCTGTTGCCTTCCCAGTTAACACATTTATGGAATGTACTTTGCTGTTTGTAATTTGACTGCTCTCGTGTTCCTTCCTTCAGGCTTATCCTGTGGTTGCCTCGTTATCCTCAGCATCGTGTCATCATTTCTGTTTGCCTCTTGCTTGTTTGTGGTATTTAAGGCACGGGGGGAAAGAAATATTTACCCATCTTGCAGTGGTGTTTTTCTTGTTCTCACCATTTCTTTTAAGAAACTATGTCACCTACTCTGACTGTTGGAGATGGGTATTAGGTTGGATGGACATTGTTTTTGCTGTGTTTTGCAACACCTTCCTTCTCTGAATGAATCTGCTGTTGTCTTTTTTTTAATATTCTCGTTTAGATACAACTGACTCCTAGGAACAGCTTTCTTCTTAGAACTTCTTCTCCTAGGAAGTTCTTATCTATGAATATTCTTCAATATCTTCATTTTTTGGTGATATCCATGTGCTTATTTTGCTGTCCATATTCCTTCCTATGTTGAGACTCCTGCATGGTGTAATTGTGCAGTCACTTCTGTCCAAATTGCCCCCTCCTTCAGATTGTCAGGAGGCTCTTCTCACCTTGGAAATCTTTTCAAATCTGGACTAGATACCTCTTGAGTAGCTTCTTCCCTCTCCTGAAACAAAAATATGTCCCAGTGTCTTCCATGAGCTCTCTTTCCATAGCAGTATGATAACAACCAGCAGGGTCCCACAACATACAGGATTTTCTGTGCTCAGAAATAGCAGTGCTTGTGCCTGTGCCTCCCCCTACAGCCTCCACCCAATTGCATGGGGTTTAAGTAGGCTGCTGGAGTATTATCCTCTTCAAATATTCAAATATTTAACTTCAAATATTGTTTAAAGTGAGGAATATAGTTGCAGCTGGGACTTTCTCCGCTGTCAGTCGCTGTGGCATTGGTGACAGAGATGGAGCAAGAAGAGAAAACCAGGGTTAGCCATTCCTGAATGTTTCTATTAACAGAAATATTTTCTTTCTTCAGTTATTCCCCCGAAAGTGCACCTGGTTGTACGTTATCAATAACACCTTAATGTCATTGTCAGGTATGTATAAACGAAAGAAAAAAGTAATAAAATATGAGAACCCTTTAAAGCCACCATTCAGTACAGTGTATTTTTCCTTGGTGTAAACTAGATCAGTTTGTACTGAAGGAAAGAGTTGTGCATCATTGTGTTTCTGCAGGCAGTTGAGCCCCTTGAGTGCTTTAATTCCAAAGATTTTCCTATATAAGACTAGAAGTTTATAGCTGAACTGTTACAAATGGGAGATGCAATTGTCTGCAGTGCCTTATGGCATCTTTGGTATGGACCAAATTCAGAAAATAAATCCGATTTAAAACAAAAAACCTGTCAAGGTAAAAGGGAATGAGGTAGCTATGAGATACTACTAGCTCATCAGATTGACTCTTGGGAAAAAAAAATCTGAATTGTCCTGAAATAAGGAGTTTCTACACAGGAAAGAGATGAAAGGATGACATGCAGATTACTTGTAGGATTGTGTCTTTAAACATACAGCTTTGTGTGCAATTCTGTTTCCACTGGTTTATAGACAGAGACTGTTCTAATATGATTAATGGTTGCCATTTAGTTACAGCCTTCTAAAACTGTGTATGTAATACTGATTTTCAGAGCATCTTGAATGTTTCTGAACTCTGAGTTGAATGCCATGTCTTCTCCGTATGCATTATTATTGTTCTCTTGTTTTATTTTTCTTCATAATTGGACTCAAAACACCTGATGCATGTGGTCCACTTTCCTAGAAGGTAATTTTCTCTACATACACTTTCCTATAATGTGCTGTCTCTGGTATGTATGTGTGTGTGGTATCAATTGTGCTTTTCTCTCTTGCAGGGAAAACATTCCAGCTCTACTCCCATAATTTAATAGCTTTGTTTGAACAAGCCAAAAAAACAGGATTAGCTGCTCATATTCAAACTCATAGGTTTCCTGACAAAATATTACCAAGGTAATATAGAGGCAATTTCTAGTATGTCAAAATTTCCTCGAATACTTTTACATGCCCTTGACTAGTAGTATCAACGTCCCTCTGAGCCTCTGACTGATGCCTTTTTTACCTGTCATTCCAGGAAGTTTGCCTTAACGACAAAGATTCCTGATACAAAAGGATGCCACAAATGCTGTATAGGTGAGTGGGCTGTCAGGTTCAAGGCTTTTTCCTGGCTTTTCTTGTTGGACATGACAGGTCTTAAACTCATTTTCCTTTTAATTGACATGCACTTAGCTCAGTACAGTCAGTTACAGGCAGCGCGGTTCAGAAAACTGCATGACTAATTTATACCTTAGTGCTGCACCTAATTAGAATGTGGTTTTCCTTCCAATTAGTGCAGGGTCTTTATGCAACAGTGGGAAGGATGCACAAGTATTTTTCATATCAGCTTTTAGCCTAGAACCGTTGCTGCCTGGAGCAAGATGCTGAAAGGAAGCCCTGGGGGCTGAGGGCAGCTGCGCCTTGCGCATTCCCGCTGGGAATGAGTCTGGGCTCTGCCTGGATAAGCTGATGTTCAGGATCGCTGGCTTCAGCCAGCCAGTCCCTGGGACATGCAGCCAGGCTGCAAATGTGCCACTGGTCCCAGGATCCCAGGCTTGTTGCACATCCACAAAAAACCTTCCTGGCTTCTTTGCTGGCCCCAAGCTTTGACCTGGATCCAGCTTCTAGCGGGGCCAACTGGAAAAGTGTTTTTTCCACAAAGAATTTGCTGGACACTATAAAAATGATGTCAGCCTGGGGAGGACTGAAGCCCTCATTCAAGTTTTAAGTGCCTGCAAAAAAGTCTTAGAGATTGTGAACTTATACATTTGTCTTTGGTGCCACTGACTTTCAGAAAAGCTTGGGTTTTCTACAGAATGCACATTTCTTTGAAAAACAGACATGAGAAATTGTATCTTTGCTTTTGCACTCTTGCAAATGCTTAAACAGAGTACAAAATTTGCAATCAGAGTACAAGCTTGCAGTCTTGGATATCCCGTGTGGACAGGACCTATTGTATTCTGGCTTAGCCTGGAGCTCTCATTCTCCCCTCTCACCCACCTTGGCCGCAGCCCCAGGAAGGAAGTTTTGCAGCTTTTATTGCAGAAATGCTTGTTGGCCCAAGGTTTGTGAAGAATTTAGTTTATTTGAACTGTGGCACAATAGTAATCAATAACAATATTTGAACACAACGCCAAAGACCAATTATTAGTGTGAAAAATTCTTAAAGTATTTGTAAAAATAGCTGCATTGTTTAGTTGTACTTAATGTAAGCATTCAACTTTCTGGACTCAAAATGGGTTTGTTTATTTGCTTGTTGTACATAGTAAGAAATCCATACACAGGACATAAGTATCTGTGTGGAGCACTACAGTCTGGGATCGTCCTTCTACAGTGGTATGAGCCGATGCAGAAATTCATGTTAATAAAGGTAAGTATTGTATTTTTAGTTTACAACATTTGTGTTTACAACTTAAACTTACAGTTAAAGTTTACAACATTAATTTCGTGGAAAGTACCTACTCTAGTCCCATTTGTGGGTTTCTGGCCACTTTAAATGCTGGCCTGATACACTTTGGCTAAGAAAATCCAAGGACTGAAGTCAAAGGAAATGTTGGATCAAGCCCAGGAATAGCAGTAACAGGCTCCTATCATATCCCTCTGGACAACATAATGTTGCTCTCAACTCATGCAGTCTCAAAAGTGGATTCTTTTTAGCAGTAAAAAACTCTTTTGTGCTTTTTTGTGTATGTTGTTTTAAACTTCTTCGTTTCAAGGTAGAAGGAAATGCTAAAAAATGTGGCTTTTTGTTGTTTTTCTCCCCAGCACTTTGATTTTCCTTTGCCAAGTCCCTTGAACGTGTTTGAAATGCTAGTGATACCGGAGCAGGAGTACCCCATGGTCTGTGTAGCCATCAGCAAGGGCACTGAAGCAAATCAAGTAGTTCAGTTCGAGACAATCAACCTGAACTCTGCGTCCTCGTGGTTTACGGAGATCGGAGCAGGTAAGGCTCCCTGCTCTGCCCCGGAGCTCCCCAGTGGCTGTTCAGTCTTTCCCTCGGAGGTCGCTTGGAAACCTGTTACGCTAGGCAGAATGATGCAGCTCCTCTCACCGCAAGCCTGTAAAACACAGGGAATTCCATTGGAACATGAGGAGACCCCTTTTCGCTGTGAGGGTGGCTGAACTGCAGCTCAGGTGGCCTGGGGAGGCCGTGGAATCTCCATTCTGCTCCCCTACGGACGCGGTGCCGGGCGACCTGCTCCAGGTGACCCGCTTGAGCCGGGAGCAGCCCCTGCTCCCTTCCAGCACCAGCCGTTCCCCAGCTCTCTAATACTGACCCTCGATGTGATCCCCGCTGTCCTTGTGCTCATCTGCCAGCCTCGCTGTAAACTATCCTAAAAGACTTCATTTTCAGACGTGGCCTTAATTAAAATTCCTTAAATGCAGACCCTAATTGCTGAGTTTTCCCCATTCGTAGTCACATACTGTTTTCTTCTACCCGGGTTCAGCCCCACTGCTCTTCCCCAGGCTCTGCTGTTTAGAGCCTCACGTTGGTCTGTCAGTCTCACATCTGGTCAGTCCTCCAGCCCTCAGCGGGGACTCGTCACCTTCGTTAGTTATTATTAATAAGTAGAAGAGTTTGTTTCATATTCAAAAGCTATACGATATCCTCCAGATGCTTTTCTCTACTGGCTTTGACAGATACTTTCTTTTTTCGTGATGAAATACTAATTTTTAGCAGCTGTATGGAGGACTTAATTAAAACTGAAAAATACTAAATTCTAATTTAATATCAGCACAATAATCTTTCCAGACGTGACTTTATGGGAAAAGAGGGCCGGGTTTTTGCTTCCCATGATGATTCCTTGTGTTCGTTACTGGACCTTTCCATGGAGAAAGGCCACTTGCGATGCTGATTTTAATATTGGCACAATAATCTTTCCGGACGTGACTTTATGGGAAAAGAGGGCTGGGTTTTTGCTTCCGGGATGATTCCTTGTGTTCGTTACTGGATCTTTTCATGGAGAAAGGCCACTTGCGATGCTGAACAGTAACTTCACGTGTATTTGAAGCTGATAAGGAGTATCCATGTGGTGCCAAGTACAGGCTTTGAGCCAACAGGCTTGTCCGTAGGCCCTGCCCTGCTCCCGTAGCACTCCGGGATGTGCCACCCCAGTAAAAGAATCCCAAATCCCGCAGAGTTGAGAGGCTTGAAACACTGAACAGGCTGTAGCAGCTGGGGAGAGGCTGCTGGGAGGGGACAGGCTGGTGGGATGTCACCTAATCCCTCTTGGTTTTCCAAGGCAATCAGCAGCTCGATGCCATTCACGTAACGCAACTGGAGAGAGACACCGTCCTGGTCTGCCTGGACAGTAAGTACCTGGTGTCCCTTGGGCAGCTCAGCTGCACCTTGGGCAGAACTGGTTTTGCCACAGTTGATTTTTATCTCTGTCACACGGTAATTTTTCTCTTTTCTTTACTAATTTGTATGGAAATATTTCCTAGTAGGTGCAGCTCAGCTATGTGATCTTTTCACTTTGACGCTTGTGATTCCATTTCTCCTTTTTCATGCCTGCATATTCTTCTTATTTCTCCTATTTCTGGGCCTTTCAAAATGAAATCTGTAAGACAGCATTAGAGATGAAAATTCAAATATACTCAAATCAGAAATCTAAACAGACAATTTTTAAACCTATCTGGAAAATGTGGCGCGCACTACCCTGCCGTGCATGTTAACTACCTAACACTGCACCGTGCACAACAGCTGTAATTTATGTGCTTCAGAAGTTACTATCACAATGGGAACTTTGCAATGATTTAACCTGCTTGAATTTCAACTTTTATATTACATTTGTATAGGTTTTCTGATCTAAATTTGTTATTTCTAGGAAAGCTGTCAATAAAGTCTAAAAACATACAGAAATCGGTAGGATGGTTTCTCTCCTTACTTTGAAAGAAAGATGCTGTTTTTTTGTGTGCCTGAAAGTTGAAGTTAGTGTTTCACAGTTAGAGCCACCTGTAATCCTCTTCAGGGATGGGTTTTAATACTTGATTTTCTGTTTTTCTTGAGAATTTGTGAAAATTGTGAATTTGCAAGGGAAGTTGAAGTCAAGCAAGAAGTTGGCATCTGAGCTGAGCTTTGATTTCTGCATCGAATCAGTGGGTAAGTGATTTTGTTCTTCTTGAGAACTTGAAATCATGAATTTTTAAGGGCTTTTAATAGCTGGCCTAGGAAATCTCTAGGGGCCTGACCCAGAAAAAGAGCTTGTTCCAGGATATTGTGAGTGGTGTCTTGTCTCCACGGACATGCTTAAGAAAACAAGACAGTCGCCAGGCAGTATGAGTCTGATCTGCACGTGTTTTCAGCTGCTGCCATTTCTGTCTTAAAAATAAGTTTTATCAGGATTTGATTGAAAAATGATGATTGTTCTGGGTCATTTCCATGTTGATTGTTTCATTTCCGTTTCATTTCCATAGTGCTGAGCACAATCTTTTGATAAAAAGATTTCTATGGTAGTAATACATCCATTTGCTTCAGTCTTCTAAACCCAAGTTTTTATATAAAGTGGTAGCACATCGAGTTTTTAATAGTAAGAGTTATAGTATTTGAATGTAATTCTTAATAGAACCCAGCAGCCTTGCTAAAAGTTGCATTGTAATTATCAAACAAGTATTTCTGCTATAAAAAGCTATAAAGATCAGAAGCATCTGGATAACCTACATTAAAGAGTTCTGTATTTCAAGGCCTGAACTTCCTTCTGGAACCAAACTGGGTAATAGAAAATGAACTCATTTTTGTGAGCAGATCTGCACAGTTCAGACTTTGGGGCTCCTCAGGCATCTTCCCTTTAGCAGCAGATTCTCACACAGGTATTTGGTGGTTTAACAGCAGCTGCTAAAACAGGGCACGTTCTTCTATACACAATCCCTATTTACATGTGGCAGAACCATGCTGAAGCAAGAATTGTTATGATATTTTCAATTTCTAAATTCCGTCGTGTTCCCATAACGTTTTGCTTTACTTCTGCACTGTGGTAGCTCCTGCTGGCACCTGCATAATGTCGTGTTCCCATTACTTTTGCTTTACTTCTGCACGGTGGTAGCTCCTGCTGGCACCTGCATA